ACCTGCAACATGTAAATCTAGAGGAAACAGTTGCGGTTCTCTCACAAATGGTATGATAAAGCATGGGTTAGTTAGCACCCGCTCCAAGCCTCTTTCGTCGTCTGATGCTTCACTACCCAGCTCTAACGAGTGGCCAAGAAGCTTCAGTTTGTCAAGTCGTACGTTCCCGTACCCCCTTCTCCGAGATCCTTCCCTTCAGAAAATGGGTGAGTTTCTCAAGGGAAATTTTCGGTGCTTGCTGAAGAGAACGATGAGTGAAGGGAATGGGAAATCAACCCTGAAGGAGTTTTAGCAACAAAGGAAGGGAGGGTTTTGGCTTCCCGGCGCTTCCGACATGGCTCAAGTGAGTGGATTGGCGAACAAAAAGTAAGTTGCCACTGAAAAACAGCCATACGGAGAGTTAAAGCCCAAATTTTCGGGAAGTGACTATGGAAACAGCTTGGGCGGCCAAGAGAGCTCCAAAACCGGTTGGTTTGCAGCCCGGTGGTTTGGAGATCAGGTGTCAGAATTCTCGAGCAAAGCTTTAAACAAATCGCAAGCCAACCAAAACCAAAGCATCAGCAAGCTGAAACATATCGCTCCAGGGGAAGGCTTTCCGAACAAACCTGAAGGATTGTTGTTCCCGGTGGTGGGGAGTCCACTTTCTCTGAGCAACCACAACTTCTTCTTCTCAAAGCCGGACCTGCCGGACTGCATACGCCCTCCAATTAAACAACGCCCTTTGCGGGGCAATGTCCGGACTCGAAATCAACTTCCGAGTTGTACATAACTTGGATGGACGAACCAAGTCATCCACCGCCTTACCTCAGCTTCTTTTCCCAACTGAACAATACATGTTTTAGACTGTGTCAACCAGCTGTGGTTCCCTCACGAATCATATCATAAAGCACAGGTTAGTTGACACCGTCACAAAACACCTCGCATCAAACGAGCGCAAGGAAGCTTCAGTTTTAGCAACAGGGGAGGGGGAAGGGAGTCTTCCTGACGCTTCCAAACATGGCTCAGCAAGTGAGTGGGTTGGCAAAAAAGGTCCAAAATTTGGATCCGCCAATGGCATGGCCTTCCCAAGTACAGGAAATGCAAACAGATCTTCGCGAATGCACAAATGTCAAGAATCACGCCGTAACAAAAGTCTGGATGATAAAAGTCTGGAAACACCTCCCTGCCAAGCCATGCCTACACAGGTCAGACGTGGAGCACCAGGGGATACCTTTGACCATCGTAAGTGGAAGCAATGGACATGCATGGCAAGCTCTGGTCGGATTTCATATTTCGAGTCCGGCACTGACACGCCCACGTGGCATCTCTGCCAATTTGGTGCGGGAACGCCCCACGGATTTAGCGGCCGGCCTGAACACAAACAGAGGGTCTGAAAAAATATCAGATTGCCCGGATGACGCATCCCTTTTTTGTGCGATTTAGGAACACTTAAAACATGTGAGATTTTTAGCATAGGAATCTCCTAAAATGCCAAGGTGTTCTGTTCTGTATGAAACGCCATCCAGAATGGACTTCTCATGTGGGCAACGCCTGGGCCTGATTCATTGCTCCAACCAAAGCTACACATGGGGAACAACTGGGGGAGGACATCGCAGGAAAACAAACCAGTACCTGCTTCAGGGCTTGGATTGGTGCGACCACTCGCACGGACCGAACCCTGTTGCAAGGGGTTTGGGCCTTCGCACCCGGCGCCAATAGCTCGGCTGTACGTCTTCAGTAGTCATTTGGTTGCAACAAAGCTTGGCTGGAAAAATCGGACCCCAGCAAAAAAATATCCTTTTTGCCTGGTTAGTGGAAAACAATGGGAACCCCAAAAAAGCAAAAAAGCAAAAAGGGGAGCTAATTCTGGGGAAGAAAGAAGGCCGCCACCAGTACAGTGCGTTGAGCGAGGTCTCATCAGCCACTAATTTCAGCCACTTAGGCTTTCAGCGCACAATGCTGCAGCCCATGCGTGCACATGACGTGTAGCCAAAGGACGGCAACATGCCCCCGAACACTAACAATCGCCAGAATTTGGAAGACCGTCTTTATCTAAAAAAAGTTCTGCGGAGTGAACTTTGTATCAATTCACCGGCCCGGAGTTCGGAGGGGTACTCTTTCAACTTACCCCAACCCCGCAAGATTGGCAAAGCACTGGCGCGATTGGGGGTTCCATGCGCCTGGAAATGTAAAACACATCACCTGGGCTTCAAAAGATGGAACCCAAAGCGGTTCAATGCGAGGCGTCTCAAAATTGAAGACACCTGAAATGAGTTGGTATCCTCTTGGCCCTGGCTTTCCTCTCATCCAGCAGGGGACCCCATGAGCTTGGGTATGTCTCAACACGCATGGTGGCTTGAAGGGAATGCCAAGAGGGAAAAAAACAACTTGGAGTCACTTTGAGACACACCCATGTCAGAAAGCACACATCTCAACTATTCAATGATTCAAGAAAGTAGTGTTCGCCATGTAAGAAAAGACAATGCGATCTCATTCGGGCTCCTTTCACCCTTGTTGGGCTCGTCCTTTTGCCCCGAAAACTGGCTCGAGCCGAGCTTGCGTCTGCGTGCGCTGCCGTCGGCGTATCAGATGGCCGGCAAAGCCATCGAGGGAAGGCGGAGGATTGGAAAGAGGCCGCCTTTTGAAAGGCTGCTTTTAGCTCACTAAGTCACTAGCCCGGGCAGGCAAATGGAAGGTCAACCTTTTGGAAGCCCGACAAAAACATAATGGGAAACACAACAGGTCAAAGGTTGATTCACATTGAGGTGTTTTGCCCTTCCATCGCTTACAACTTATTTCCCTGGGATTGGGAGAGCTCCTTCAAGGGCATCTTGGCTCTGAGCCGGTTTGCGGGGTTTGGACCTGCTAGTTCTGCGAGTTCTCCTGGTAGCAATCTTCGCTTCTGTCCACCTGACATCAGAAATTGGATGCAAGTAAAGGACTTACATCAGAACTCGCCCTTAACCCGTGAGCTCACAGGCAAGTGAACTTTGGCCTACAATCCTCCACACGCCCTCAGTTCCGTGGTCACAGCCACGGAACTCTCGTCTCAGGTTTCGCGCAATTTGTGCGGACATCTTGGTACAACGGGCCCGCTTTCTTTCCAAAACGGGCCCAGGGTTTAAGATACATAGCCGTAGGAGACCAGCTCTTTCCAATAGGCCACACACACACACTGCGGTCAAACCGCCGCAAGGGCCGAATGTTAGAATTGGGTTGTGGGGGTACTATAAGAAGAAATTACCGCATGACTATACTATACGACAATCCCCAAACACTCGTAATGGACGAGAGCAGCGAGGAAATTGTATGATTAAGATATGGAAATCGGTGGTCATTTCTTCCCTCATTCCCTTTTTTCTATGTTTATTGCAATTGTAATCGTATTATCTTTATCTGACCTTTTGACTGCCAAAAGAGTATGGAATGGGGGAAATAAGATGACATTAAAATTATGTTATGACTCTAGGCTGTATTTCATGCATCTATTTGTATTATTTTTGAACTATTATATTAAAATATCTTTGCATATTATTCATTGCAATAGAGATACGTCACTACTTTGTCACCATTTTTGGCCACAGCGTTTCATGATCGGAGCTGGGCTCTGCTACAGAATGGACATTCTATTGCTTCATTCACGGTTTGTCATTGGAATCATGCCAAATGTGGCCTAACTCTACCTACCTCTGCTTTTCAAGTACTAAGTAACTAAGTATCCCGGGAGTCTCGCCCGCTTGTCCGCAATGGGTGACCTACACAAACTATATATCCTTCAACTCGACCCCTGCTACCCCAATGCGTGGCTAGTGGCATGTTCGAGCCGCTGGTCCCCGAGGGCCACCAAAAAACAACACAGCGAGGCTTGGGCGTCCGGGCTTGGCCCGGCGAAACTCTCCAAATTTTGTGGGCGAGCGCTACAACTTGGCCCACGTGTTTTACATAGGCCTTGGGTAGATGGTTTTGTTCCCCTCTCCCAAAACAGGGTTACTCAAAACAAAGTGGGCTAGAAAGCAGGAAGCCAAGGGATATATGAACCTGGCGTCTTTACTTGCACGCCTGGCTGAATGCTTGCTCGGAACGACTCCCGCCGCGCAAATAGGCACGTATTTGTGCCCTTCTGGTTTCTTGCAGTGTTCTT